TCGACGATAGATAATGAACTACATATAATGAATTCTTTAACATAATGCGAATAATTAAAAAAATTCATAAATATATTTTACGACCAGTCTACCTAATAATTTTATCTGTTAAAATACTATCACATAGTTCAATAATTTTAAATATTATTTGAAATTTTAAAAAACATCCTCGAATCGTATTAACAACGAAGTAACAAAGTTCCTACAACATGATCGATTTCACTTATATTGCTTGATATCATCGAAAGATATCGATTTAAAGATGTATCCTTTAAAGATGATCACGTTAATCGTATCACTCGATTATATTAAAAAAATGGTAGATAGAATTTAGAGTTGAAAAAACGAATTAACACGAAATAATGAGGACTCACCTGTAGATTTGGCGATCCTCGAAAAGAGAACTGTGACATGTTGTGTCGGCCACTCAGGGCCGTGATGGTCGGGCGCCGCTACGCGATCATCCTTCCAAACCGTAGCATCTGTTGCAGTGTCACCAAGTCACTCGGAACAAGTATCAGATCACTTTTGTTTTTTCTTCTCTTTTTAATTTTATTTTTTCACCACGTAACACGACGAGAAAGATAAAATCGTGCGGATATAATTGCCGGTCGGAAAACCAGAGCAAGTCACTAAATGGCAAAACAACGTAAAAAAAATGGCAAAAAATTTTTCACTAAAAAAACTCACGCCTGTTTTATTGCACTGTCTAGTACCCGACTCTACTTGATTCTGAAGGCGGTCTCCGTATATACACTTGCACTGTCACAAACGCAGGCACTGTGAGAAGCAGGGACCAGTTTTCCGATCTTCGACCACAATGCAGTTATAAAGATGACACTGTCGGTTTCGGGATTTCACGATCAACACAGACCGATGACAACTATAAGTCAACAGGAACAGTTCACACAAATCACTAGAGATCGAAAAACAAAGATTGTAGATTTGTCCAGATGATAAAAATGATATGACACAAGTCGAAATTGATAAATCATAAATTAATAACGGTAGAAATACAACTAACGCGTTACTTAAATATAAGTATCATATGCGCCGGTGGATAATTCGTTCATGTAACTCACGCCGTTGATCCGATCGACGCGCCAGCTATGATCGGTCGCGACTATCCTCCGAATCGTCGTTTCTTTTCGACGGAATCCAGACCTCCGCTCAGCGGTTAGGAAGGCGGAGGTACATAAGTACGAGTGCGAAGAAGAAAGCGCGATATAGAGAGAGAGGAAATGAGAAAGCGAGACGAAATAGAGGGAGGAGCGAGCGAGAGGAAGCGCTAGAGGGACGGACAAGAGGCGAAACGAGAGATAGAGAGGGAGAGAGTGGTAGATCGAGAACTCGAGCGATGGTGACGAAGAGACTCGTGAAAAAGGAAAGGCGAGGATCGACTTGTTCGCGCACACCGATCTCCTTTTTTTTCCTTCCTTGCTTGTAAAATCCGTCTACACGTTGAATTGCTTTACACCCCGTGAAATCACGACATGGGGAAACTCGTATTCGTTATTTTTTTTATAATTAAAATTGAAAATTGATCGATATGAATTTTTTTAACTCACAAATTATATCACCAAATCTATATACGCGCACTCTAAACAAATAGTAACTACAAACTGGCGCGAGTCACATGTGTATAACGCCTCGGCACTTCTGTCTTCACCTCTGCGTGATTCGCGTGCGTGTGCGTCCACATGTATGTGTATGTTTTCACTCGTGTTTAGAGGGGGTACAAGGAGGGCGCGTGTCCATGCGACGAGTCTTCCCTCTCTACTTTCGAACTTGGCGGAAACTTCTTTCGCGCGCGCTTACAGAATAATTATTCGATCGAATGGGTATTTCAATTATCCGTCTAATATGATTCACACGCGCACTTTTAATCGTCACTTATATCCGATTTTGATCGGATAATCACCAATAAAGATATATAAGAGATGGTAAATCCAACAGTAGGTTATAAGTAACGCGTTCGTCGAAGGTCCGGATAACGCGATCCAAATCCGTAAGTTCTGGTATCCTCGTTCCTCGAGATGACGGTTGATCGGTGTAGGAGGAGGCGGCAGTACAGTGACGGTGGCGCTGGCGATAACGATGGTAGTGTGCCGATGGTGGTGGTGGTAGTGACGAGAAACGGTCGGCTCGACAGTGGTGGTGGCAGAGTCGTCGCCGTAGTTCTTTTCCTTCCATGGAAAGGGGGACGATTTTTGCGAGATGGTTTGCCCTCGGTGAGACGGGTGGGAGGGTCCAGGCCGGCACGCCGCGCAGTGTGGTGGGGGAGCCTGGTGCCACCTCTGCTGGTGGCTGATGATGCCACTACCGGCACCTCGTACCCACGCGAATTCGTACCGCACTCTACTAGTAGGCCGAGTGTTCTGTGTATACTTCTCTTCTCTCGAGTCAGGTCGGCATCTTCGTAGATCG